AGGAGCCAGGGATCGAACCAACAACCTTCCGATTAGAGGACGACCCGCTCTGCCTCTGTGCCATAGCCGCCCCATGAAAACGGTTGAACACTGGAAATTGAGATCAATGTCTTCTTGTGTCTGACTAATATATTCAATTATTAAAAAGTTAGGACAAGTTAAATCAGCAAATTCACATACTTGAAGAGCTGGAACTATCAGATATTTAGCAGGTTTTGCAAAAAAGAATTCTGAAACTTTAACTTTAACATAGATGGGTTGTTTTCGTTCAGACCCAGTTGATTTTTTTCAAATACCAATAGGAGCACTAGGAGGAGCCAGAGGAATCAGTTTTTTTTCACAGATTATTTGTCTCATGTACTACTGTCAGGATATAGTGAAAGTTTCAGCAAATATGACAAAAATATTTTATAACAATTAGTTACTGCAGCTTTAATGGCTAATGCTGATATTTAGAGAGCAGGGCGACCAGTGGCCGATATACACCGGTCAGCCATAACATTCTGAGCACCTGGGCACCCTGGTGGTCATATTATTATGCAGCCCCATACAAGCAAACTGTGATGCACTGTGTGTTCTGACACCTTTCTATCAGGCTGACCAGCATGTGCTACAGTCAGGATATAGTGAAAGGTACAGCAAATATGACAAAAAGTTATTTTTATAAAAATGACCATCTGCAGCTTTAAGAAAACAATATTAGTTGACCACAAGTATCAAGTTCAGAATATTGTCCCACATCATAAATAAAAGTCCAAAAGCATATTTAGGATGCATATTGAGGACAAGGTATAGATGGTGGGATTTGGTCTTTCTGATGTTAAACATTATCCACAGAGAACTGTCATGGTGTATCAGTGGACATAACCATGGTTTTTCATAGACATATCACAGTAACTGGATTGGAAACTTTATTAAGAAACATCTGGTGAGTTTCAGTTCTTTGACGTTTGAAATCGGCAAGTAACAGAGCCACAGCAATAGTTTTTGCAGCATGGCCTGCACATTCTCACGGCTGGTCTAGAATTTGCGCCATGGCAAGAACATTCTCATGTGACATTCTGTTTTATACATCCCACCATGTGCATGAAAACCAGCGTACACAACCTTTTTGTGCGTACATAGGCTACCATTTATACATGAGGCCCCTGGACATCAGTGTATATGCCAAAAAAGCATGAAAATATTTCATTGGCATTGTGTTTTTCAACCTAAAAGATGGAGGATTTTCCACATAATCTAATGTGTAGAAAGAATAACATCTGAAATCATTGTCTTTATGATTAATTATCCGCAGTTGAATTCTAAAATCAAACTTCATTCTTGGAGAGAAATCCCAGAAAAAGAGTGATTATATTACTGGGAAAAAATGTTTTAAAACATAGGATAAGGATAAGCTGCAACCCTAAACATGACCCTTGTCATGCTCACTGTAGAGCAGAACAGCATATCACTGTGTCAATATCATACCTGCACACTTCTTAATGCCTTCTTCATTGCTTATCATTCACGGCCCTCCTCCTCTTTCTTATTTCACAACTGCTTCCAACTAAAAAACAAAAAAAGAATTCTTTACAATCTGCCAAAAAAATATCTATTTTGATTTGTTGTTTTACCATACCATACCATACTCACCATATGCTTACACACACACACTGTTTTACAATGTAAGGATTGTGTTCACTTCCAAGTCAGTGATTTCAAGGTTACCTTCAGACCTCAAACTGCCGATGTTGTGTGGGAAGTACAACTGTTGGAAAGGAAAATGTTATCAGAACTGAAAAATGTATGAATACAACTCAAACTAAAACAGAGGTTGGAAAAAAAGGCTGTAAATCGTGAACAGTACTTTGAACTGGAAACAAGTTTTTAAGAGTCTACAGCCACACTAGCAGCTAAATGAGGCTGTACTGGCACAGTGGTATTTTGACCTATATGCTAACATGTGGATGTTTAGCAGTTATAGTGTTTACCAGGTTAACCATCTTGGTTTAGCATGTTAGCATGCAACTCTACTTAGATATGCTATGCGCTAGTTTCTCTATGTTAAAAATACAACCACATTTTGAAGATGGTTAAAAGATAAAATATGAATGTCTGTCCAGCTGCACTGCAGGCAAACCCTTGTTTCATGGTCTCAAAGGTAATAACATACACTGAGTCTGATGCATCTGATCATTAGATACAAATTAGTCTGAATGTTAAAAGTTAAACCAAATATAAAACATATTTTCTCCCTTCTTTCTAGTGGCATTGAGCCATATAGACAGATTAGGTCATAAATTGTAAAACCAATACCATGGGCGTCAATAGAAATTGTGCCATCCATAGTATTATAAAATGCTGAGTGAGTTTTGTGTATTATATACAAATATTTAGACTAATTGGAAATGTATCATAATATTAAAGCTGCAGTAGATAACTTTTATAAAATTAACTTTTTGTCATATTTTCTGAA